GGTTTTTTCCCCCGTTAACGCCCCGCCCCCGAGCCACTCGCTCGCCTGGAGCTGGCGGTGAGGAGCGAGCCCCGGGGACGGGGTCTGGTTCTCTCCCCTCGGCCTCTCCCGCTCCCACGGGAGCATCCCGGGTCCGCGTGCCGCCGCTGTACCGCTCCCGCCCCGAGGGCTCCCCCCCAGTTTGCTGGGGTTACATCCAAAAGCGTCTGAAAACGATATTAAAACAGCAGCAAAACAGTTTCCCTTCAACAAAGTAAATATTTAATGAATAAAATTGACATTGATGCATTTTTAATATTGGCACAATTAAATCTGCCAGCTGATTAAGTATTAATAACTCTTAATAAGTACAATCAGCGTGCCTGGGAGGAGAGGGAGCGTGGCAGCGGGGCGGGGGGACGCCGAGGGATGGGGTCCCTTGCCCGCCGTGTTGGGGACAAGATGTCGGGGACATCTGCCCTCGCGGGGAGCAAGGAGAGATCCCCCCAAGCTAAATATCAGCCCTGCTGCGGGTGGAAAGGGAAGGTCAGCACGGCGGCGCACGTAAGCCCCGGTGCCATTTCCAGTGTTTACCATCTGTAATCAAGTTGGCTTCCTCCTCTCCGCTCTTTTTTCTCCCCCGTTTTGTTTTCCCTTGCAGGCAACAATGTGGATGGTGCCTGGGCGTTCCAGAGAAGTTGGGAGGGCTGGAGAGGGAGCGATCCCGCTTCGGAGGCTCACCGGGAGGAAGAATGCCATTTAAATTAGAGGAGCGTCCGCAATGAAATCGCACGTCTGGGCCGCAGCAGTCGAAGCCCACGCTGGAGGAAGCGCTGAGGGGCCCAGCAAGGTGTGAATCCTGTTGTTCAGGGCATGCAAGCAGCTTCGGAGGCACCCGGAGACATTTTGGAGGCCGCAGTGCTGAGAACGACGGAGTCCAGGTGGCTGCCCCATGGCCGAAGGGCTTCGATGCGGTGGCATCCGCAAGCGCCAAGTTTCGGCTTCCCAGAAGATCCCTGTGAAGAGCGAGATCCTGCCCGGGTGACACCCACGGTGCCCTGTCCCCTCTCCGATGCCACAGACCCCCAGCTCAAAGGTGGAGGGTTCCGTCAAGACCTCGGCAGCGCATGTGTGAGCCCCGTGGTGTGCCGCTGCTCGGGCTGCCGGGTGCTCTGTGCCCCGTGCCGGGATGCCAGCCAGGCCAGCAGCCAGCTCGATGCCTCCAGTTCAGGGCTGCTCCAGCTCCAGGGGTGGCCAAAACTCATGTGGGTGCCCCAATGCCAGACAGGTGCCCCCAACCCAAGCGGGTGCTCTAAATACTGGTGGGGTGCTCCCAAGCTGGACAGCAGCTCCCAGCCCCAGGTTGGTGCCCCATCTCATGTCGGTGTCTCCATCCCAGGGATACGTCCGCCTTCGACCGGTGCCTCTGCCTCGAGGGTACCCCAGTCTTAGGGGTGCCCCACCTTAGGTGTATCCCACCTCAGGTATACCCCACTTCAGAGGTGCTCCATATCAGAATGCCCCATACCGGGGTGCCCCCACCTCAGGGGTGCCCCATACCAGTGTGTCTCACCTCAGGGGTTCCTCCATCTCAGGGTGTCCCAGCTCGAGGGTGTCCCCAGCTCAGGGGTAGCCTCACCTCAGGGGTCCCCCTACTTCATGGGTACCTCCAGCTCAGGGGTACCTCACCTCAGAAGAGTCCCATACCTGGGTGTCCCACTTCAGGGTGTCCCACCTCAGGATGTCCCACCTCAGGAGTGCCTTCACCTCAGGGGTGCCCCCTCTTCAGAGGTGCCCCATACCAGGGTGCCTCACCTCAGGGATACTTCCAGATCGTGGGTGCTCCACCTCAGAGTGTCCCACCTGCAGGGTCCCCCTACCTCAGGGGTACATCACCTCAGAGGTGCTCCATACCTGGGTGTCTCACCTCAGGGTTACCCACCCGAGGGGTACCCCTGCCTTAGGGGTACCTCACCTGAGGGGGCACCTCACCTCAGAGGTACCCCACATCAGGGTGTCCCACCTCAGGGGTGCCCCGTACCTGGGCACCTCACCTCAGGGGTGCCCCCACCTCAGGGCGTCCCGCCTGAGAGGTACCCCACCTCAGGGTGCCCCACCTCAGGGGTGCCCCGTACCTGGGCACCTCACCTCAGGGGTGCCCCCACCTCAGGGCGTCCCGCCTGAGAGGTACCCCACCTCAGGGTGCCCCACCTCAGGGGTGCCCCATACCCGGGCACCTCACCTCAGGGGTGCCCCCACCTCAGGGCGTCCCACCTGAGGACGCCCCACCAGGTCGTGCCCCGCCGGCGGGCGCGGAGCCCCCCGGACCTTTGTGCATGCCGGTGAAA